TAGATGAAAATATTAATTTTAATTGTTTGCCAACTGGTTATCATACAGCTCACTTACCATTACCAGATAATTGTGATTATTTTTTTTTTGAATATTAATGGTGAGAACATGTCTCTGACTTTGTTTTAATTCTTCTGCAGTGAAAAGAAAACCTTATAAAAAAAAGAATCTATTTAAATTTTATATTCTAGGATAGCAAGAAAAGAAACTCAGACTAATTTATCTGCGGCCTAAACCAAGATAATTGTGATTATTATACAATTTCTATTAGATATTTTACTAGTAAAACATATATTTGTGGGCATTCTTATTATAATAAATATTATAATATTGATAAAGCTTGTAAACATTATTTAGAATATTATAAAAAAGAAATTATTAAACAAGCTAAAGCATTTAAAAAAGGATTAGAAAAAATTGAAGATGAAAAGAATATTTTAGATAATGAAAATACAAATAAAAATGATGATAATAATTTAGAAAAAGAAGAAAATAATAATGAAACAAAAGAAAATATAGATAATAAGCTTCAAATAGCTATTAATACTAATCTATAATAATATTAATACATTATTATATTAATTCATTATAATATAATATCAATCTATCATAATACTAACTTATCATAATACTAACCCATTATAATATTAAACCATCATGATATCAACCAATTATAATATCAACCTATCATAATACCAACCCATCATAATACCAATCTATCATAATATCAACTCATTATAATATCAGACCATCATAATGCCAATTCATCATAACACCAATCTATTGTAATACCAATCTATCATAATACCAATTTATCATAATGCTAATCTATCATAATATCTATAATGCCAATTAGTGACTAGACTCATTAACTCATAACTCAAATAATTCGAATTTATCATTCTTTGAATTATGAAAATTTAACTCACGAGTTACTCGTAAGTTAATTATTATCATAAATGATAGTGAAATCAGATAATAGTGAAATCTGGATCTACTTTATATATAATTTTTAAAAATTTTCAGAACCTTTTTTGCCAGCTTTTTTTTATAATGAGTTAGAATTTTAGGATTAGAGCTATTAGTAAAAGAGTATAAGTAGATTTTGGTAGGGCTTATATTTTCAAATCAAAACCCCTAAATTTTAACATCATCCGATTTCATGATTATCTATGACAATTATTAATATAAATTATACATTATGTATATTAAAATAATTAATACTAAAATTTTTAATTATATATAGGGATGGTAAAAAAACATTTTAAACTATTTTTTAAACATATTTTATTGTTTTAAACTTTTTTAAAACATCAAAGTCAGAGATAAAACTTTGCTAAAAATAAATATTGCTTCTAATTAATTTTAATTGTTAGCAATAAAATTTTTTTTAAAAAAAGTGATGCTATATAATTTCGAATTTATTATATATATATAAAAAAATAAATTTATAAGAAATATATTTAATTACTTTAATTTTATCAATGATATTTTTAACTATATAAATTTGCTATTAGCCAAATACAATCTTTTATTTGACATTAGGTTTACATTTGTAGTATTGAGAGTCCAAGTTTATAGCAATATTGCTACTATGTAAACCTCGTTAAATAAATTGTTGCAAATGAATTATTGGAAGATTAGAAGGAATACAATGAATAAATAATTTATCCTTCTCATATTAATCCAATTACATATGTCACTTGAGATAGAATTATGAACTTTTAATAAATCATATATATTTTGGAAGTTTTTTAACGATCTTATATTTATTGAAAGTTTTTTAATTGGTTTCATATTTCTTGAAAGTTTTTTAATCAATCAAGTGAATCAGCAGTCTTCTTCATAGTAATTGCATTTTTGACACGATATTTTTTTACCATGTTTATTAGATTCAGCAATTTTTGTAAAATTTAAACAATCTCTTTTAAAGATGTCTTCACGAACATAAAATATTGCTTTGAAGAATATTTTTGATTTTATTTTTTTTTTGAATATTAGTAATCATTAATACTAAATTACACAATCAGATCCAATTACGTTATAATGTATTAAATATTTTTTAACAGATTTAAATTAAACAAACATGATTTTTAAGATCGCATTTTAAAACATTTGCTATCCCTAATTATATATAGTAAATACGTATATATATATGTAATTTTAATGCAACTACTGAACTATATCTATATGTTGTAAGTAGAAATGAAGTTTAAGTAGGTTTGGAATTTCTAGTTAAATTAATATTAGGATTAGAGTATACTGTGCATATAATAAAAGCAATCCAAAAATAGGGTTTATATATAGCACATTGAAATTTAAATAAAAAATTAATAACTTTTAAGATATTCCTATCTATACAAATAACACAAAACTAAAACAATACATAATGAACAGGAGGAATCCTATGCTGAAGAAATTAGTCAAAGTACTGTTACTGCAAAGCAAAACCTTGATCTGAAATTGGTAGATGAGGTGTTATTTTTAAAAAGAATCAAGACACATTATTTCAAGTTGACAAATAATTAATATGCTACTTGTTTTCATACTTATTATAATCTTTAATAACATGTAATTTGAGTTATATTTGCTTTTGTAACTCAATTTACAAAATTTTTAATAAATTAATTGTTGTAACCTGAATAACTCGAATAAAACTCAAATAATATTATTATTTGAATGATTCGAGCACCCTTCGAAATTTAATTCTCAGTTACAAGTTAACACGAGTTCAGTTACTAGTGCTAATCTCACTGTGATACTAATCTATCATAACACTTCATTGTAAGTATTCTGCTATAATACCAATTCATCCTCTTCTGACCCTAAATTGGAACAGATAAAGTTATTAGTGGGTTAAATTACAATAATCAGATAGAAGCAAGTAGATTAATTTGTAACCATAGAGTACTAATAAGAATTCATTTGTTGCAGTATTTTGAGTTAATCTGTAACATATGCATTCCACAACAATTTCCATATTTGGTACTTTTAAATAATATCTAAAGGTCTTTTGTTTATCCTTGTAAACTCTATCTCCATTTTGATAACAAACTCCATTGATGTCTTTATCTAAGAAGTAGTTCTATAAGTTGTTATGTACCAAGTTGAATAGTTTGGGACTCGCTTAGGCACTACTATTTTTAAAGATAAGAAATTGTAAAATTTGTTATTAAGAATTTCTCTAGAACAGCACCAACAAAATTAGATATTAATACTATTTCTAGTAGTTGTCTAAAGCAGAGACAAATATGTAACTATTAGCCAATTAATTTATAAAATTTTGATGATTGCTGGTGAAGCAATTAAAGAAAGAAAAATAAAAATCTAATAAATACAAAAAATGGCAGTCTAAACTTAGATTAAGCAAAAATGTCAGAAAGACAATTTTGCATATATATAACTACCTAAAACCTCACTTTACCCTAATATAGGATAACTCTAACCCTAAAATTAATTTAATAAATATTAATTATATGGCTTTAGACATCCTCTATTGTACCTGGGTATTATGAAAAGATTAACTTTATTTGTAAAAATCAATTGTTAAAATATGGCCTCTTTTAGTCTCTGGATTAATATGTGCTAAATACTTTAAATAATAAACACCATCATCTTCCTGACTATTGTCGCCTGAATCAAGATCTTTCTCAGGTATCTTGTATAATTTCATTTCATAACCTTCATCTATTCATGTAAGTATTAATAAGACTATAGTATGATAAATATATCAAACAAAACTTAATTGTAAAAGAACCTTTTGCATATCTATAAAATATATAAAATGTTAAGTAAAAATGTAAATACCTTAAAAATATCATAAAT